ATACAAACATTCAACAACACCAACAACATTCAACACACGTCAACATTCAGTAAACAATACAATGCCAACACTCAACACTACTGAACAACAATTCGCAACACGATGCCAACACTCGACACACGCAAAGCTCGTAGCCCATTTTGGCTCAGACCAGCCATCCAGGTACATACCACCACTTCTGGAAATCCATGTTTCATGGAATCACCTTGGGAGGCGACAGTAAAAGCAAGGGTTGCAACCAGCGGTGGATGGTCGCAACGTCAAGCTCACGTTGCAGATACATGCGCAGAGCAGGGCACCAAGACCCACAGCAAGCTTGCTGAAAATCTGTTGCTGCTTGTGGGATGGGGCCTAATAAGTTCTTGCACAGCGCAATGGTTGGCGCAGTCAGCAGTTGACGACGGGCTCGATCAGCCCGACATCACGACTCTAAGTGCCATCGGTTGCCACGGCGAATATCCAGGCAATTGTCGCAGGGATCTGTTGAGAGCGTTTTGCAATAACATGTCAGTGCCGAAACCGTTTACTGTAGTATTGCCGATGGTGCAAAAAGATTTGTCAGTGTTCGATTCACCTATTAGTTTTCTGAATCCAGCTGAAGTCATAGATGTGATGTACAATGAGTATCCTTCTGTATTTGAGGAAGCGTTTGGGGGAGACCCTACGACCTTCTGGAACGGAGTTCGTCCGGACGACCCACGACTTGCAAGTTTAGGTGAAATGACGTCTAGGCCAGACTGGAAACAAAAAGCTATACCGTTGGTGCTCCACGGTGATGGCGCGCCTTTCACGAAAACGAATGAGCGGAACTTGATAGTTGTCAACTTGAAGGGTTTGCTGGCGAAAATTCCAAATGGATCATGCCACTTATTACCGTGGTGAAGACATGCTTGTCTACCGAGGACCACACATTTGACAAAATATGGAGAGTTCTGCGACACGTGCTGAATGCCCTCTTTTATGGGAAGCATTCTGATGTGGATCCTTGGGGCAGGGAATGGGACGAATATAGCAAACAATCTACGATTGCAGGTGATGATATATGCAAGGGTAAACATTTTTTCGTTGTATGGCAACTCCAGGGGGACCAAGAATGGGCCAGCAACGAATGGGGGTACCCGCACTGGGGCAGTGATTTCGCGTGTTGGCTCTGCCAAGCTGGCAGAGGTGCTGCGCCCTACCAGTTCACAGATGTGCATCCTCGGGCAGAGTGGAAAAGACACCTCGTGGAACCTGGCCCTGATGTAGAACCGCTCTCAAACAATGAGGTCTTCAACGTAGTTGGAGTCGACAGGTGGCACTACATGGGCGATCTCATGCACTGCGGTGACTTAGGCGTTCTCTTGTATTTCCTTGGCTCTGTTCTCACGGAGTTGGTTTTCGACGGGCCGTACACTGGTACAGCTGACAAGAAGGTGAAGTTATTGTGGCAAGACATACAAGAGGTGTACGGACTTCTTCACATTACGAACAAGCTCACAAATCTGAAGATACAAATGTTCAAGCCAAGCGCTACGGAGTTTCCGTTTCTCAAGGCTAAGGCGGCAGAGTCCAGATCGTTATTGTACGCCCTTGAATATTTGTGCGCCAGGGTCAACACTGGATCCGACAGGGACAATCACAGGCTTGCAGCGTTGGCGGCTCTCGCATCTATGTACAGAAACTTGACTGGTGGAAACATGTTTTTGTCGGCACGTGAATCATCTGATGCGCTGCGAGACGTGGAACGGTTCCATGTGCACTACAATTGGTTGACGACTACGGCCGTATCAAATGGCAAGTTGTTGTACAATTTTACAATGAAGTTCCATATGCTGTGGCATGTCGTTTATTTGTCAAAGTACCAGAATCCGTGTAGCACATGGTGCTACGATTTCGAGAGTTTCATGGGATATATGGTCTTGAGCGCGAAGTCATGCATCGCAGGAACCCCAATGGAGATGGTAGGGAACAAATGTCTTGAGAATTTCTTGCTCGTGTTAGAGCTCTCTTTGAACCGTGCTGTGCGCGAGGGTTGATAAATATATAAAGGCTTGCGCCATGATAACTGGGAGGCTTACGCCAACCCGCTGGGCCCAAACAAAAATATACAGGCTTACGCCATTATAGTTGGGAGGCTTGCGCCAACCCGCTGAGCTCTGAGATGCCGCTCAAGAGGTGGTCCAGCCCATTTCGCTTGAGACATCCTCGCAATTCTTCGCCTGAGACATCCTCGCAACTCTGGCTAGGCACGCAGCGATAATAACATCAGATGATGCTATTAGTAGTTGATGATATAACAATAAGAATCATAGGACATCGGCCGCAGTAACACTAACGACTGGAATTGCAACGCAGAAACAGTAGCAATATCATCCGTAGCTAGTACGCCGACACCTACTTACAAACAACAAACGCGCGTGGAGCCCCGCATCAGTATGCTTGCGGCTACGAGTGGGAGGGGGGGGGAGAAGGAGGAGGGGGGGAGGAGGAGGAGGAGGAGGAGGAGGGAGGAGGAGGCGAGGAGGAGGAGGAGGAAGAGGAGGAGGAGGATGACGAGGAGGAGGAGGAGGAGGAGGAGGAGGAGGAGGAGGAGGAGGAGGAGGAGGAGGAGGGGGAGGGGGGCCGAGGACCCCCGAAGGCCGCCGAAGGCTGGTGCCGAGGAGGGGGAGGAGGAGGAGGAGGAGGGGGAGGAGGAGAGGGAGGAGGGGGAGGACGAGGAGAGGGAGGAGGAGGAGGAGGAGGAATATGAGGAGGGATTAGAAGGAGGAGGAGGAGGAGGAGGGATTAGGAGGAGGAGGAGGAGGGGGAGGAGGAGGAGGAGGAGGAGGAGGGGTATGGATGAAAAAAACTCGTCCTCCTCGTCCCCCCCCCCTCCCACTCCACGCAGTCCCCGCGCAGCCGCGCGGCCGTCGAGCGCGAGCTCGACCAGCAGTTCGACCAGCGGCTCGACCAGACTGCAAACTACAGCAGACTTGCAACGCGGGATGGACGCTCTCGGGCCCGACGGGCCCTTTTTGTAGTGCCCTATTGGGCGCAAGCTTACCCTGTTTGGGGCCAACTAGACCCCGTGGGCCCCATGGGCCACATTGGACTTACATCGAAACGAACTGGGCCTCAATGCCCCCCCGTCCAGCCGTTTATATACTTTGCCCCATCCCCCGCCCGCCCCACCCCACCCCCGTCCATGTCTTACTGGGCCCCATCGGGTTCCCTTGGGGCCCCATGCCACGTCCGCGTGTCCCGCATAGGGGCCAGCCCAATCTGCGGGTCGCGCCCCGTTAACACCATGTGGGTCCCACCCCATAGGTCCCCATATGGGTCCCGCCCGATAGGTCCCCATCGGCCCCAACCCTCTAGGTCCCGATCACCGATCTCGCCGCGCCGACCACCCTGGCCCAGGCAGAGGCCCATATCAAGAACTTTGATCTGGTGATTTTTTCTTATATGTTATCATTTTTTTTGATCTCGGATCAAACATCTTGATCTGGACTAAGTTTCTTGATCCATATCAAACTTCTTTGATCTGTGGATGCTCGGGGATGGTTCCGGTTCCGGTTCCGGTTCCGGTTTCCTTCTTCTTCCCCGCCCCGAAGAAGGCCTCCTAGGTCACGGTTCTGGTTCCGGTTCCGGTTCCGGTTCCGGTTTCGGTTTTCCTTTTTCTTCTTTGGTTCGAGGGGCTCCCGAGGTCCTGGTTTTGGTTCCGGTTCTGGTTTTGGTTCCGGTTTGCGTTTGCCTTCTTCCGGCGCTCTTCTGTTCTGGTTTTGGTTCCGGTTCCGGTTCCGGTTCCGGTTCCGGTTTCCTTCTTCTTTCCCCTCCCGAAGAAGGGCGCCGAAACCACCACCAAAACCACACTCCAGTACGGTATGTTCTTTCAGGGGATCACAGCCTCGAGTTCTGGCCGAGGCCGCCGACGCCAGGTGCTCTTGGGTGTTCATCGCGTGACTGCTCCAAAAGGCAAGGAGGCGCCCAGACTGGCCCAGCGTGCCCCAAGAGGCCCAACGACGGCCCAACAGGACCCCGAATCGCCCGAAGATCGCTCCAATACGCTCAAGATGACCTCCGGACTCCAGACGGCCCGAGAAGTTCCCAAGACGCACCAAGACAGCTCTAAGGTCCCCCCAGGAGGGCCCCGAAATGTCCAACTCATTGATTCTCAATAGTTTTAAAATTATTTTAGCGTTCTCGCCCTCGGGGGTTCAGACGCTCCCAGACGGGTCAAGAGGCCCCAAAGATCGCCCAAGAGACCCCAAAGAGGGCCCCAATACAGTCCAAGATGCCCCAAAGACGGCCCTCAAGACGACCCCCAAGACCGACCCAATAGGGCCTCAGAACTCAAACTTTCATGTCGCGCCCTCCGTCCCAGGATGACCCCGGGCCTCCAGAAGGCCCAGGGGGCCCCCAAGAGGCCCAAGTCTGGCAAGAACAGGCCCCCCAAAGGACCCCGAGATGACCCAAGACACACCCAAAACCACCTTCAAGAAGCTTCCGAGAGGCCGCCCAAGAGATTCCCACAGGCATCCCAGAGGCCTCGAACCTACAACCCAGGCGCGGTAGCGGGATGGGCCGAAGATCCCTTGACACGTGAAGCGCACACGCACACGAATGTACATAGAGAAAGAGAGAACGAGAGAACCAACATACCCATACATCTGCGTATCTACAAATAAGAACGACGGGCTTCACCGGGTGATGCTGATGCAGCCCATGCCAACCATCCAATAATGACAGAACGGTGAACCAGAAACAACACTTTTTGTCTACACAACAGACTTTGGTAGAACAACTGGTCAATGAAAACTGCGGACGGACATGACGCCAACATGTCAATGCCCGACTGAGGAAACGGGACTGGGGAGTCCAGGCACAAGCAACGAAGAACTGGGAGCACAGCTCCATGGATGGCGTCCCACCTGTCACTTGAGAGAGGTGGAGGGAAAGAGAGAGAGAGAGAGGGATAGAGAAAGAAATAGAGAGGGGGAGAGAGAGACAGAGAGAGAAAGAAAGAACGACAGAACGAGAGAGAAAGAGAGAGAGCGAGAGAGAGAGAGAGAGATGGTGACAGAAGAACAAGCGGCGCTCTTGCTCGCGCGCTGCTACGGCGCGATCGGCTGATGTGCGGCATTCGGCCTTGGAGCCCGCCTCCGCGAGCGCAGCAGCGGCTCGGTCGGGGATGGAGAGACCTCCCTTCAGTAAAACGTGGTTTAGTGAAAACGACCTCGGGCCCAAACCTGGCGGGCGCAAGCCTGGAAAATAACGGCCACGGCGCCCTCTCGAGAACCGAAAACGGACAATTCACTAATCGACGTGTCACTGTTGGGGGTTCTGTCCACACCCGACTCGGAGCAGGGAGAACGGAGACAGCGGCATCTCAGATCCGGTCCCCCGGGCCTCATCCAGGGCCCAGACGCACCCGTTTGCCGAGCGGCGCCCAGCCGCGGTGACGATGGGGAACCTCCCGAGGCGGCCACCCACCGCCAGCCTGGAAAATACCGATGCTTGCCCTCATGAACGCTTCCTTATTCGGCGTTTCGACACTGGCTGGAAGGGGGGGCGTCTGGCTCTGGACCTCTGCTTGGCGCGACTGTTTGTAACAGTGCGTCCTGTGGGGAGACCCCACCGGCTTGAAATAGGCGCTAACAACAGCCAAGCTCTACTCCAGGCTCCAGGGGGGTAGGAGGGGGGGGGGGCCAGGGCCCGCGCCGATCGGCAAACCAATGAACAGTAAAACAATCACCTTCTCCGAGATCCGACGTTGCCCAGTACCGTTGTCTCGACTCGCCCTCCTCTGAGCAGCGAGAGACGTCGGGGCGGGGCGCTTCCGACACGGCGGCGCCGCGCGGAGCCCCGCCTGGAGGAGCACAACACGGCACAGACAGAATCCCACCAGCCCTCTGGGCGCAGGTGGCCTAACAAGTTCTGTTTTCCCTCCTTCACAACTCCCTTCCTCCTTTGAGTAGGGCTTGAATCATTTCCCCCTTCAGTAAGAGCATCAAGGCACCCTCCCCGAACCGACTTCGATCTGATACCTCGGTCTGACTGTGCGGCCTGCTGCGAGCAGGACCACCATCCCCGTCAACAGAACAGAACAAACTGCACTTCTCGGCCAAGTCCGCATCCTGCGCGGACCCCCTCGCGATCACGCTGAAGTAGGCTTTTTGATGGGGACGCCGGGCGAGCTGGCACGTTGCCTGCTGTGCAAGCCCGCCGGACATCATGATGGCCCATCCGCCGGGACTCTTCCTTAGTTCTCGGCGAGAGCGGTGAAGGCCGACACTGGCCATCGCTCGGACGTCCATTCCCTGTGTTTTTTTCGGTTTCGTTGCCGAAGATGCTCCAAGATTGTATCCATTATTGCCCAACATAGCCGAGGGTGGTTCAATATAGCTTCCGACATACCTGCAAGCAGGCCCCAAGATGGCCACAAGACGGCTCCCAAAGTGCTCTCGGAGCCACGCGAGGATCAGGACTTATCAATATTCTTTAGATGCCGACAAAAACTCAATGAATGTCGCCTTCTCGTCTTTCCGCATCCGAGGGGCTTCTTCTGAGACCCCAACATGGCCCTAAGATGGCCCAAGAGAGCCCCACGAGAGGGCCCAAGAGGGCCCAAGATGGCCCCAAGATGGCCAAAGAGGGCACGCGAGGCTTTCAGACGGGTTTAAGAGCGCCCAAGAAGGCCCCCATAATTTTTGTTTAATGGGGGGCCTGGATCAAGGACCCTGCGCCGATCCGAGAAATCCGCGCGGACCTCCGATTTGTTATGTTTTTGTCACTTGTTGTTCCCCTAAGAACGGGAACATACCGTGCACAGATCTACCCTTCCTCCGAACCTGCACAGCGCCGAGCGCACCTGCCGCGCTGTCCACGGACGCATCCACCCCGAGAGTGTCTATGGCCAGGAGGCGAGAACGGCATTTGGCGTCGGCGCCAGAGATATTGGCCTTCTAGGAGCAGGTAGGCTTGGCCCTCGAGGGACGGGGCCGAATCCGCCCAACATCGGTCCCCAGACCGGGCTCCACCTTGTGCGGTTGTTCGCCCCGGATTACATTTTTTTTATGTGTGTATGTGTGTATGCATGTATTCGTGTGTGTGTGTGCGTGGGCGTGTGCGTGTGCGTGGGCGTGGGCGTGTGCGTGTGCGTGTGCGTGTGCGTGTGCGTGTGCGTGTGCGTGTCCGCGTGCGTGTGCGTGTGCGTGTGCGCGTGCGTGTCCGCGTGTGTATGTGTATGTGTGTATGTGTGTGTGTGTGTGTGTCGGTGCAGGGGGCCCGAAAGCGGGCCCCCTGCAGGCCGACGAGGGCAACAAAAATCTGCTCGAGCCCAGAACCTCGAACTGACCCCCCCTCCCTTTTTAGCGGCGAGCAAAGGGGGGAGCGAGAAGGAGGAGGCGTTCCCGGAAGGCGACGGGACTTCTCAGAAGCCCTCGCGCCTTCTGGAGTGTTTTTTTGCGTCTTCTCCGGCAGGCTTGGAAGACTTCTCCGAGGTCCGGGGGACTTCCGAGCCTGCTGAGAAGGCCCGCTCGCCCCTGCTCGCTTCCCCCCCTGGGCGCGCCGCCGACCCCTCTCGGGTCGGGCGAAGGGGGGCATAGCACAGAGGGGGGTCGAGACTCAGCTCACCTAGCTGATTTTCCCGGCGCCTCCCGGCGCCAGAGGCGGCCACGTGTCGAAGCATGGGCCCCTCCGTGGGGCCGAAACCAGCTGCGTGCAGCAGATTTCGTAGCCCCCCCCTTTCCCCGATCCCCCCCTTTCGTTCGGCACGATTTCGAGAAAGCCCGCTCCTTCTCGCTTCCCCCCGCCAGGCGCGCCGCCGACCCCTGACTGCTGGCCAGAACCAGGTGCTGGGCCACCTCAGATCCAGGGGCCCAAGGACACACGAATACATATTACACAGATAATGAGATTCCCCAGCATTTCCCAAATCTTCTGGGTTTTTGTCTTCCCCCCACTTCCCATATTTTCCCAGATGTCTCTGGGGAATCGACGACTCGTTGCGCCTGTGTGCTTTTTGTCCCTCTTGTGACTCCTGCTGGCCAGAGCCAGGTGCCGGGCCACCTCGGGACCCCCCCGCCGGGGCCCGCGCCCTCCCCTGGCCACCGCTCGGCCGTCCCCTCCCCGTGCCGTCTCGCGGCTCTTCGTGCGCTGGTGTCAAGTCGGGCCTGTCCTCCTACAGGGGATTTTTGGACGAGGAGTGAAGGAACAAAAAATGTCAAATAGTTCAACAATCGTCCCCGGACAATATTTTGACTATTTCCCAACCATCCTGTGGTGTTGGGTCCTCGTTTTGAAGAGACAGCGCCCCGCGTTCCTTCCTTCCCGCTGCCCCCTCCCTCCTCCCATCTTCATCATCATCGTCATCATCCCCATCATCGTCATCGTCATCATCATCTGTCGTCATCATCATTATCACCACCCATGTCGGCACACCCCTCACACGTTTCGTGACCCCATAGGGAGCTCCACCGAAGGTCCCAGTGCGTGTGCCCGCATGCGTCCCGCACACTCATTTCGGCACACCCCTCACACGTTTCGTGGCCCCATAGGGAGCTCCACCGAAGGTCCCAGTGGGTGTGCCCGCATGCGTCCCGCACACCCATTTCGGCACACCCCTCACACGTTTCGTGGCCCCATAGGGAGCTCCACCCATGCGTCCCGCACACCCATTTCGGCACACCCCTCACACGTTTCGTGGCCCCATAGGGAGCTCCACCGAAGGTCCCAGTGGGTGTGCCCGCATGCGTCCCGCACACCCATTTCGGCACACCCCTCACACGTTTCGTGGCCCCATAGGGAGCTCCACCGAAGGTCCCAGTGGGTGTGCCCGCATGCGTCCCGCACACCCATTTCGGCACACCCCTCACACGTTTCGTGGCCCCATAGGGAGCTCCACCGAAGGTCCCAGTGGGTGTGCCCGCATGCGTCCCGCACACCCATTTTGGCACACCCTTCACACTATTCGTGGCCCCATAGGGAACTCCACCGAAGGTCCCAGTGGGTGTGCCCGCATGCGTCCCGCACACCCATTTCGGCACACCCCTCACACGTTTCGTGGCCCCATAGGGAGCTCCACCGAAGGTCCCAGTGGGTGTGCCCGCATGCGTCCCGCACACCCATTTCGGCACACCCCTCACACGTTTCGTGGCCCCATAGGGAGCTCCACCGAAGGCCCCAGTGGGTGTGCCCGCATGCGTCCCGCACCCATTTCGGCACATCCCTCACACGTTTCGTGGCCCCATAGGGGCTCCACCGAAGGTCCCAGTGGGTGTGCCCGCATGCGTCCCGCACACACATGTCGTCCCACCCCTCACACGTTTCGTGGCCCCATAGGGAGCTCCACCGAAGGTCTCAGTGGGTGTGCCCGCATGCGTCCCGCACACCCATTCCGGCACATCCCTCACACGTTTCGTGGCCCCATAGGGAGCTCCACCGAAGGTCCCCGTGGCGCAGTCCACATGCGTCTCCTTTGCCCAGTACAGCGTTACGTGGCCCCATATGGAGCCCCACCGCAGGTCCCAGCCAGCCAGCTAGCTCTCTTTGCTCCGCGCAGCGGGCGACCCGCGCGCGTCGCTGGGACTCCTCCGGGGCGACCTGCGCGCGTCGCGGGGGCTCCGTGCTGCGTTCCGCCCAGCGCCTCGCTCGCCCGTCGTCGCTCTGCCCAGCGGCAAGAGCCTTGCCCGCTATCAGCCAGCCAGCTAGCTCTCTTCGCTCCGCGCAGTGGACGACCCGCGCGCGTCGCTGGGACCCCTCCGGGGTGACCTGCGCGCGTCGCGGGGGCTCCGCGCTGCGCTGCTCCCGCAGCCTTGGACTTTTGAGTGCGCGGGCAAAGAGGGAGTAAAGGAAGGGGAGGAAGCGGGCGCGATCCTCGCGGGGGGGCGCGCCGACATTGGCGTCGCGGCGCGCGGGCGATGCCGTCGGGGAGTCCCGGGGAAGCTCCTTGCGGCGGCCACGCCCAGCGTCACGAGTATTCAGAGGCAGTCGTTGTCAAACTATTGGCATTCATACACATTTGCACCACGCTTTGTCATATTCGCATTCATGCACGTAGACTCGCTCGCACGCAGATCATTCACAGTCAGACGCACGCGCGCAGATTCACCCGCGCTCAGTCTCCCTACGTACTCAGATCAATCGTTTTCGTTCACTTTGTGTACCACGCCACTCATGTCGGCACGCCCCTAGCACGGTTCGTTGCCTCATAGGGATCGCCACCGAAAAAATGAATCACTATTGCGGTACTCGCACCTGCATATGGTTGGGTCCCTCGTCAGGCTAATTTTGAATATTCCCCCTGTAGAGGGACAGGCCCGACTTAACGCTGGTGCGTGTTCGCAAGGTGCTCCAAAAGTTGTGGCTCGATGGCCCCCGCCAGGAAAAACTGCGCGCGCCCGAACGATGCCAGGCTCCCCACCCTGGAGAGCAGAAGAACCACCCTCAGAAGAAGCACCCCGACGAGAGGGGCTGGTCAGCAACTGCACCCAGGGAGGGAATCGAAGAGGACAGGGCTGGTCAGTAAACACCTTGGCCACGATTTCCTGCGTAGCGAAAAAGTCACAACATCGTAACAAGTAACGCCCGTTGCGAACTTGTGCGGCGCGTTTGGCGCTCCAGCTTCCGTTGCCGACGCGCATCTTATTCATTCCACTCGGTTGCCAACGACGCAACCTTGAGTCTGCCGACGCGTCCCTCTGGACGCATGGCTGAGCGTGCGAGCGAGCGCTAAATCCGATCTTTCTGCGTCAGTCATCAAGCCAGACCGATTCGTGAGGGCCCTGGGCCCCGAAAAAACGAAAATGCACGCCTCGAACACATTGAGACGCCAAGATCTCGGGGAGGCCCCTCCCTTCACGCAAGTTAAGTTAGGAGCCGAACTCTACACACCGACGCTTTGCCCAGCGCCGCACTGACATTCGCAGAGGAAAGCGGACCCTGGCATGCACGGGATCCTGGGGTACCCAGTCGTCGCTGCTTACCCGGGAAAACAAATACAACATGTATACAACACACCACCCCGACGTCGTCCCCAAAAAACAGCCCACCACTGGTCGGGAGCGGCCAAGAGGGGGTGTCCAAGAGGGGTGGGTGCAAATCATGACGGGCGGCATGTGCGCGGTCCAGCGGGGAGGCACGGGACGCAATGAAATAAGAAGAGGCGCCATGAGATCTGGGGAAATATCATGGCCCCCGCCATGATATCCACCCTCCCCTTGTCATCACCCCCCTTTTTTCCGCCCCCGAACTGGTAGTGCATATATGCTCCATATCCGACACCCGGAAAGCCGTGAACATGGCGTTCTACGGCCCCTTGCATCCCTACCGCGCGGCCTCACCATACGGGTTGCCTGCACGAGCTCGGACCCCCGACCCTCGTCCCACGCCGCCGCCGCCGCCCCGTCGCAGGCTCGCGAATGCCCTGGAGGACCAGGGCCAGTCCCGACGACGACGACGACGACGACGACGACGACGACGAGGACGACGACGACGGCGGCGGCGACGACGACGGCGGCGACGACGGCGACGGCTTCTGGGGGTCGGGGGCGGGGAGGGGGTGGCTTTTGTCCAGCTCGGGGGGCTCGGGGCTAAACTTTGCTCCCTCCCCTGCTGCCTAGGCGGCGGGGCTGCGCGAGAGACGGCGCCGCCGCGCCCTCGGGGCGGCGCCGCCGCGCGCCCCGCGCCCGCGGCCTCTCAGGCCCCCGCGCGCGGCGCGGGCGCGGCGGGCGCCGCTGCGGCGCACCGCAGCCTCAAAGGGCCGAGCACACAAGGGGCCCCGGGCCCCACAAAGCTTTGCTCAACAAAGCCTCCTCCTCCTCCTCCTCCTCCTCCTCCTCCTCCTCCTCCTCCCGTAGAGGGACGTGCCCGACTTGACGTCAGCCTCGAGAGCCCGCGCTCGGGCCCCATCGAAAGCGGCCCTGGGCCCCGGACGGTGATGCGCAGGGACGGGGACGGGGCCGCGTGGGCAGTGCAGGGAAGAGGGCGTGCAGTCGGACCGAGGCATGACATCGAGGTCGGTTCGGGGAGGGTGCCTCAGTTCAGGGGCAACGGTAGGGGGGATAGGCATAGGGGGGATGCATCGACCCCCCTGTAGTTGTCCCTCCCTAGTGTTATTCGTGCTTGTTGGATGCTCTTGGGCATCTTTCGGGGGAAGGTACCCACCGTGATCTTATCGTTTTGTGGTGCTCTGGCTGACGGAGGGTCTCATGCTCTTGAAAGTATATTATTATGTCGCAGGTCCGACTGTATATTGGCAGATGTTAGGGGCCGTAGTCGGCGTCGGCGCTGCCGCTTGACGATGCCGTCGCCGTCGTCGCCGTCCAGGGTCCACTTGCGGGGCGGCTCTGGAGGGCCCTCGTCGCCATGGCCGATTGAAGAAAGCACAGAGTGGCAGATGTCAGGGGCCGTCGTCGGCGTAGGCGCCGCCGCCGCTTGACGGCGCCGTCGCCGTCGTCGCCGTCCCGGGGGTCAATTTTTGGGGGGGGGCGGCCGTCGCAGACGGCCAGGAGCGGGAGGAGGAGGAGCCGGAGGAGGAGAAGCTGGAGGTACGAGGAGGAGAGGAGGAGGAGGAGGAGGAGGAGGAGGAGGAGGAGGAGGAGGTGGAGGAAAAGGAGGAGGAGGTGGAGGAGAAGGAGGAGAAGGAGGAGGAGCAGGAGGAGGAGGTGGAGGAGGAGGAGGAGGAGGAGGAGGAAAAAGGGGGAGGAGGAGGAGGAGGAGGAGGCGGAGGGGGCCAAGTTTTTTAGGGGGGGCTCCGTGGAGGCGTTCGTCGTCGCCGCCAGAGGCCAGGAGCGGCCCCGTCGGGACGGGCCCGGCGGGGTTCTGCCTGGGCTCGGGCGCAAGGTGGTGTTTTTTCCTGGCGGTCTCGTGGCGCGGAGAGGGAAGTCAGCAGGGGCGGGTCTTTTCACAAGGCGCAAGAGTCCCCCGTTTTCCTGATAATGTGCTAAGCCTTCACCGAAGACGCGGGAAACTGCTCAGAAGGCGCGGGGGCTTTTGAGATGTCCCGCCGCCTGCCGAAGTGGCCTTTTCCTTCTCACTTCCCCCCCTCGCTCGCCGCCGAGCCTTGCTTCGGGGGCGGCACAGAGGGGGTAATGACTGGGGGTGTGAGGACATCATGGCTGGGGCTTTGATATCTGCGCACATGTCATGGCGATCTGCTTGTTTCGATACGTCCCAGGCACTCCCCTGGGCCGCGCACGTGCCGCTGGCCATGACTTGCGCCCCCTCTCCTGGGCGCGCCCGTCTTGGACGACCCCGACTGCTTCAAGAGGGAAAGAAAACGCAGGCACAAGACCGACGTCGACATTCCCATTGAAAGGCAAGGAAAACTGTATGGGAGGTGGCGGGGAAGAGGGAACTCAGAAGAGGGGTATGGAACCGCATGGGGATCCCTGCGGTTCACCGTCCCTGCGCATCACCGTCCGGGGCCCAGGGCCACTCGTGATGGTCCCGGGGCCCGAAAACCGGGCTCTCGAGACTGACGTAAGCCGGGCATGTCCCTCTACAGGAGGAAAATACAAGAACAAAATAAAAACCCGGCGGACGATGTTGCGCATTTTTTTTTACCGTTTTGGTGTATGTTTTGAATACTTTTATTCCCAACCATGTTGTGGTGTTGGGTCCCCGTTTTGAATAGACGGTCCCCGCGTTCCTCCTCCTCCCCCTCTCCCCCCTCCTCCCCTCGTTGTCCGCCTGTCTCTCTGTTTCGGCACACCCCTCACACGCTTCGTGGCCCCATAGGGAACTCCACCCAATGTCCCACTGGCGGAACTCGCATGGCATCCCCCCCATTTTTGTACACCTCTCACACGCTTCGTGGCCCCATAGGGAGCCCCACCTGAGGTCCCAGTGGGGGAGCTCGCATGGTATCCCCGCCCCAGTTTGGTACACCCGTCACACGTCTCGTGGCCCCTTAGTGAGCCCCACCTAAGGTCTCATTGGGGGAGCTCGCATGGCATACCCGCCCCATTTTGGTACACCCCTCACACGCTTCGTGGCCCCATCGGGAGCTCCGCCTAAGGTCCCAGTGGGGGAACTCGCATGGCATACCCGCTCTATTTTGGTACACCCTCCACACGTTTCGTGGCCCCGTAGGGAGCTCCACCTAAGGTCCCAGTGGCGGAGCTCGCGTGGCATACCCGCCCCATTTTGGCACACCCTTCACACGTTTCGTGGCCCCATAGGGAGCTCCACCTAAGGTCCCTGTGGCGGAACTCGCATGGGATCCCCGCCCCACCTTGGTGCACCCCGCGCGCGCTTCGTGGCCCCATAGGGAGCTCCACCTGAGGTCCCAATGGCGGAGCTCGCATGGCACTCCCGCCCCATTTTGGTACACCACTCACACGTCTCCACCTGCGGTCCCAGCGGCGGAACTCGCGCGGCGGCCTCGCCCCATTTTGGCGCACCCCTCGCACGGTTCGTGGCCGAACTCCGCCGAAGGCCCCAGTGACAAGGTTCGCATGGCGGCCCCGGGCCTTTTCCGCGCAACCCTCACGAGGATCGTGGCCCCGCAGGGAGCTCCACCGAAAGCGCCAATGCAAAAATTCGCATGGCGGTCTCGGGCCATTGTGGCGCACCCTTGACGAAAATCGTGGCCCCATGAGAGTTCCACCGAAGGCGCCAGGGGCAGCCTCCAGCCATTTCGGCACGCCCCATCACGAGGATCGTGGCCCAATAGGAGCTCCACCGAAGGCGCCACTGGCAGCCTCCCTCATGGCTCTTAGAGCCCTCTCCTGCTTCTGCTCCTCGGTCGGGGGGCGCCGTCCTCGTCGTCGTCGGCGCCCGCGAAGACGGCCGCGAACATGTCCCTGAACATGTCGGGTTCCGGCGGGAAGCCGTGGCCACATGGGGGGCGTGGGCGAAGATGGTATTCATAATTGCGGTATTCAGAACTGCGCATGGTTGGGTCTTTCGCCAGGCTAATTGTTTCGGCCCGCGTCCCCCTCTGTAGGTTAACGTGCCTAACCTAGTGCTGACATTGGGGAAAAGCGCCCGGTTTGAAACGCACATCGTTAAAGATCTTGGATCGGCGGTGGACAAACCTCCCTTTAGTAAACCTCCTTTTAGTGAGAACGGCCTAGGGCCGAAACCGACGGACCACGACCCGCAAAAATGACGGCCGCGACGCCCTCTCGCGAACCGAAAACGGTCATTTTGCTAACCGACGTGTCAGGATAGGAGGTCGATCAACCTCCGCTGGGAAGCCGCCGACAGACACGCCGTCGACGGCAGCGACCGGCACCAAGAAGGAAGGCGTTGAGTCGACGGCGGCGGCGGCGCCCGGCCTGCCCGCGCGCGAGAAGAGCTGCTCGGCCTCGCGGTGATTCCCGCCAGCCTTCAGGAGCATCGCCAACTCCTGCCGGACAGAGGCCGATCGTCGTCGCCGCTGGCGTTGTCGTCTGCGGCATCGGCGTCGTCCTAAGCCTCCAACGTTTTGAAAAATCAACTCTTGAACAGGGACCGACTGTTCTGGCATTCCTAGAAGCCTACCGCGAAATGTCCGTAGAACCTGCAGATGTTCGAATAACAGAAGCACAGATCTTATAACATAAACCAGACGTGTGAAAACAAAACAGTCTCAGCCATGTTCTAAGAACATTATCATAACATTTTCTGGTGGGACTATAAGCAAGCCAGGACGCCTCGCCACTGCTCGAATCAGGGCGGAGATTGTTCGCCATCTTCGTCCTCCTGGGACCGTCGCCCAGCCACGGGACCGTCAAACAGCGACTCAGGACGAAAAGCTCGAGGGGGGCCAGCGCGTCTGGATAAACGTGCCCACTGGGATGATGATGATGATGATGATGATGATGATGATGAGGAGGAGGAGGAGGAGGAGGAGGAGGAGGAGGAGGAGGAGCAGGAGCAGGGGCAGGCGGAGGAGGAAGGATGAGGAGGAGGAGGGAGGAGGGATAGAGAAGGAGGAGGGAGGGAGGAGGCAAGGAGGAGGCCGAAGAGGACGAACGAGGTGGAGGAGGAGCTCCTCTAGGGAGGCCAGCGCGTCTGGGTGGTCCTGCCCCAGCGCCCCCTCGCGCCACTCCACCGCGAGCCGCAGGAACCGCTCGGCCTCTGCGAGGCGGCCGGTGCGGTGCAGCAGCCTGCGGGGGCCCTCTCGCTGCCGCCGCCGTGGCCGCCACCGCCGGCGCCGGTGTGGCCGCCGTCGTCGTCTTCGCAGCCGCCGTCGCCGTCCACATCGGCCCCCGTGTCGTCGGCGTGGCCCGTGGTCGGCGCGGCCCTCGCCGCCGCCGTCGCCGCCGCCGCCGCCCCCTGTCGACATCGTCGTCGGCGACGGTGTCGTTGGCGTCGCCGCCGCCACAAGCGGCGTCGTCGTCACCGCCGGCGCCCTCGGTCGCCGTCAGATCGAGGCGCTTGTGCGCGCTTGGCTCCCAGAGGCATCTCCGGGAACATCCGCGGAGGCCTCGGCGTCACGCCGCGACCGTCGTTTTTCGGCGCTCGATGCAAACAGCAAGGCACGCCTTGACTATCTACCAGACCTCCTCCTTCCCAACCCGAATACCCACACTTCGGGTGTTGGGGTGGGTACGTGTTCCATGTGTGTTTTTCAGTCTGCTCCCAGACGCCCCCATCCCCCTCTTGGAATGGAGGGCGAAATGGGGGCCTTCGGGTTGGATGGGGGTGGTTCGAAGGGTGGTGATGACTGTAACGTTTGACTCCAATCCCATCTACGCATGACTCCTGCCACCATCACCTTGCGCTCATCATCTAATGCTTGGGCTCCACGGCCCAGCGCCGCAAAATGTCCGCCAGCCACAGACCCAGACCCCCGACGTAATGACTTGTTCATTACGTCGACCCCCAGAGGTCCCGACCCTTTCCCCATGGCCGGCTTTGCATTCTGAGTCGTTTTTTGACGCTCCCGAGGCCCAGTGAGGGCCCCCGGAGGCCGACAACCTTCCATCATGATTTTCTCATTACTCGAGCGGGACTGGGTAGGTAGACCCCGATGTAGACAAAAACGGGTTGAGGTGCGGCACCGCACATACTTCTCACGTAACGGAGTGTCGGCGAGGAGGGCCGTGGGCGCCGTTGCTCTATCGCGCACCCCCTGGGCCTGCCGATGTCGTGCAGGGAGGTCGTCGTGTCGGGGTGCTTCGCGCCCAGCGCCACCTTCGGAGGGCTCAATTTGAGGACCAAAACCCCTCCCCCTACTCCCTCCCCTGGACCTTGACAGGGGGGGGTCGCGACGAGTTAGAGCGTGGGAGGGCCATTATTTGCCACCCCTCTCGAGGATCGTGACGGAGACCCTAATTAGTGCCCCCCCCCCCACTGCTGTGATCGATCTTACCTAAGATGGCCCACAAATGGCCCCCAAGGCTGCCAAGGGTGTCCCAAGAGGGCCCCAAGAGGTGGCCAGGAACCCTCAGAAGCCCCCAGGATGCCCCCAAGAGGCTCCCAAGAGATCCCCAAGAGGCCCCAAGAGACCCCCCAGAGGCACCCAAGATGCTCCAAGAGGCCTCGGCGAGAATGCCAAATCACTAATTCTACGCAGGTTTTAATCACATGTTGGCCTCATGGGGGGGGGCACTGATTAAAATGATTCCTAGAACGCCTGGGATAGCCCAGTATGACCTCCAAGATGGCTCCAAATCTCCCAAGATGTATCATAATGGCCCCCACGATGCTCCAAGATGCCCCAAAACCGCTCCAAGACGGCTCCCAGTGGCCAAAGAGCTCCCCCCGGAGACCCCGAAGAGGCCACAACCTGAGGGAATTCTATGTGGTTGGCGTTGTCGCCTTTTCGTTCCGGATGGCCATCCGAGGCCTCAATATGGCTCCGAGATAACCCAAGAGGGCCCCAAGAAAGGCTCCAGAGAGCCCCAAGACGGCCCCAAGAGCAACTAAGAGCGCTCCAGGAGCACCCCAAGAGGCGATTGTTCGGGCTCCCGAGGGGCAGCGCTAACTAATGTCCGCTTCGTGTTTGATCGATGTCCCCCACGATGGCCCCAAGAGCGCTCCCAAGGCTCCCAAGAGCGCTTCAAGACTGCCGCGCCCAGGAGGCCCCAACAGGCGCCCAAAACGCCTCCAATATGCTCCCAAGAGACCCCCAAGAGGCCCCAAAAAACTGTCCGAAACATCCCAAGAGGCCTCCACTGGGGGACCCTTCCTCTGTGTGCTGCCCACGTCCCTGATCAAGGCATTTCCTCTGGGCATCGTTTCTGGGTGGGCTGGTGGAGTTATTTTTTGGTCGCGGCCACGAACGAAGAGCACACGCGGCGAAAGCAAATGTCCGGGGCAACGAACAAGGCCGATTAGCTACAAGACGCGCCGCTAACCGGCCGGCCCACACTGGTGGAATTAATTTTTGGTCAGCGGCTCCAAGGCGACCGCCAGGGAGCGGGAGCGACGTCCGGGGCGGCTGAACATGGCGAATTTGCGAACACGGCCGCCAGTGTCGGCGAGCCAGCTCGCAAAACTACAACAAAAGCAACTGCAGTAGGTCATGCAATGAAAGCAAACGCACGCGCATTAAGCAAAATGCTCAACATTCAAGAGCGGAGAGTCGCCCTGATGGCGCCAGTCCGCGCGACCGACCTAGCCCGGGCAGGTAGTACCAAGGTACCACAGCCGTACCGATGTCGGCACAGGCGGGGCAGAAGAGGCAAGAACCTACATAATGCTCACTCTGCGATCCACTCCGTTGACCATGGTGGGGCCGACCAGCCAGCAGCCCCGAAACCACTCACGTGTCTGAACCACGATGATAGAACGCGCCTGCCCAAGCACTGGTGGAGATACGCGAAACGTCTAGAATTAATTAGAAATGAGAACTCAAGCATGTTAGATCACTTCTGTCTTACCTGCTCGCCTGCCATTCACCACGCGTATCCAGAACCCTCGAATTTGCCCTACCTGCCGCGTGTAGTTGGAGCAGCAGCTAAAACAGGGGAAGGAAGGGAGGAGGGAAGAGACAAAGCGGAGGGAGAAGGATGGAACACGAGAGAGATTTGCAGGAGGGTAGAAGAAGCAATGCACGCGGCAGAACTTAACGGGCGGGTCGGGCAAGCGGACCCTAACGGGCAGATCGGGCAGGCGGGCCCAGACGGCCAGGTCGAGCGGGCGGGTCGCTGAAACGTCAATCCAACACGAATCACAAAGACATGCCCAACGAGACCGCGATTCCCTAGTAAACCGTGAGGACATCCAAAAAAAACACAATATTCCTGAGTCTATGGGGACGGCGCGAAAACAAGATTTCTGCACACTATTTGAAAAGTCCCGCGCGAGAGCGCGAATTTGAAATACATGGTGAAGACGTATCAGGCGGAAGACGCTGTTTGTTTTGAACTGGGGGCCAACTACCCAATTCGAGGACCAAGGCTTTCCCTTGTAGAAATAAAAGGTGCGAGCCCCAAGAGGAACACTTCATTTGAAACGCGCAAATGTGCACCAGGCAGGGGGGATCAACCATAACCATTTCCGAAGCGAGAACTCCACAATGATTGTGCAATCATTTGCTCTCATGTGCCCGCGTGTCGCTCAACATGTATATCCCAGGCCCTCAATGCCCGCCCTCGTCGTTGAGGGTACCCCCCTTCGGTGGATAGATTTCTATATACATATATATACACATATATATATATATATATATATATATATATATACATACATATATGTATATATATATATATATGCTCTCATATGCCCGCGTGTCGCTCAGCATGTATATCCCAAGCCCTCGATAACCCGCCCTCGTCGTTGAGGGTACCCCCCCCCTTCGGTGGATATATCAATATATCTATATGTATTTATATGTATATACATATATCAACCTTCCCAGCCGCGAGCAATCATGTGCTGCCAGATGCCCGCGCGTCGCTCAGCATGTATATCCAAAGCCCTCGATGACCCGCCCTCGTCGTTGAGGGTGCCCCCCCTTCGGTGGATATATCAATATATCAATATCTCTCCTCCTCGGGCCAGACGGAAACAGGCGCAACCTTGTGGATGCACATCTGTTTTTCAATCTCTGTCTGATCAAATTGCATGGCGAATAGATTTATCCCTCGAGCGAGCTCAGGCCGAGGCTCCTCTGCCTCGGCAAGCACGGGCCTGTACAGGCCACAAACGACACAGCAACTCCCAACTATATAGGCAGAAGGCGGGGACGGCGGGTGGAAAGACTTGAGCGTAAACAGTTGCGGCCAGGCACCGAGAGAGAAAGACGTTCCGAGAACTGTAGCATCTCTCCTCCTCGGGCCAGACGGAAACAGGCGCAGCCTTGTGGATGCACATCTGTTTTTCAATCTCTGTCTGATCAAATTGCATGGCGAATAGATTTATCCCTCGAGCGAGCTCAGGCCGAGGCTCCTCTGCCTCGGCAAGCACGGGCCTGTACAGGCCACAAACGACACAGCAACTCCCAGACCCATACTGTGCTCTGGAGCCGCCTGAGGTGCAACCTCAACCTAAACGGCGAGACAATCGAGCCCCACGAAGAGCCGCCGCCGACCTAATTACCCAGAGGACAATCGCTCTGGACAATCGCTTGGGGTAAGATGCCGCGAGGGCGGTCAGATTGACACTACTTCCAGGGAGCTTTCCTCGCAAGATTATGTGAGGTTTAAAACAGAAACTACAAGAACCATGGCCGGAACACAAAACGTTCTCTTGTCTAAGCATTGGGACGTGCCAGCCTACAAAGCGGGTGCGTTTGCGCCAACGCGCCCCAAAGGCGCACTGGTCTAGAACCAGCTGTCTACAAGAGGGGTGGCCCATGAGGGCCGCCATATTGGGTTCGCGCCAGGCCTTGGACGCGTGAGGGTTCTCAAGGAGCATAGGTACCTTTTGTTTGATGCAAGCCCTGACGAGCCGTCTGGTGGCCATGAGCGTGCTATTGCCCAGGTTGAGACGAACTGCTTCAGCAGGGGACGGGTCGGGAATCCCGTAGGGACACCATGATCGTCTGATCTGGCGGAAGAGAGCCGGAGTCCAGCTGCTGCACGGAAAGGCTGCAAACACGCCCTTGACTATGCCTGACTGAATCCAACCTATGAGCACGTTGACCACCACTGCGTTCGACAGGTCATACTCTGGGCCGTTGAGCACATCGAAACTGATACAGCTCTCACCTTGAAATTTCATGCAGTCGGCGATGGTCCCAGTGCCTGAGAACAAATCTAGATACACTTTGCGATCATAACTGGATTGAAGAAACTGACGCAATACCTGTCGCAACTTTGCTCGAACCATGTGGGCAGGCAGAGAAACGTCTAAACCCGCGTTGTGATCCCCACGACCTTCATGGAAAGGTTTCCTTACTTTGCTGCCACCAGCCCCGTGGCCGTGGTCCCGGGAGGAACAGGGACTCTGGCTGGAAGGCCCATGTACTGGCATAGCTGCTTGTCGATCAGACTGCCGTAGTCGCGCGCTCTGACGGGTGAGCCCTCGAGAGACTTCAATACCCTGGCGTGCTTCACGTACCGTTTTACCGAAGTGTCCGTAGCCCGACGGCCGCGGCGCTTGATGGCCTCCAACGATCGAGTCTGTCTGAGAGCATCGTCGCTGGCGCCTATGTGCCTCCTCATGTACGGGTGGAGCTTCGCCTGCCCCAGGTCTGCGACCTCCCTGACCCTCGTGAAAAGGCTGGAGAACTTGCGATAGTCGAAGGACCACCCTTTGTCCAGCGGGTTGCGTTTCTTCCAAGTAGCAAACCGTGGGTATAGGTATGTCAACTCCACGCTGTCCAGCAAGATGCTCTCGTCGAACGCCTTCGTCTTGGTGAACCCTGCCTCTTCCTCTGGTGCAAGTAAGGGTGCCCCGTGAGAAGTCCTTGAACCCGCCAGTGGAGGCACTAGCTGATGCACACGAAGACCCCGACACTTGCTCGGCCGCAAGTAGAGCCGAAAGAGAAAGATGAGGCACGGTGCGGACTCCAGCTCGTTGATGTATAACGCCGCATAGAGCTCCTCCAGATACTCCAGCATGGCCCTGCTGATGTCCGAGCTCGAACTCAACATCATTCCGTTGGTGCTGGCCCAGTCCTTGAACTCCTGGAAGAACCTGTCGTACCTCGTCGCCGATAGATGAGTCACCTTGTTGGCCTCCAAAAAATACTGGCCGAACTGCCTCGCATGCACCGCCTCGTCCATGTGCTCGCACCGTCTGCGCCTTGCCCTCTGAGTGCGAAGCTGCGACGTGCGGTCCTTCCTGGCCTCTGTCACAGGCCTCTTGGCGGGCATGGGCAGTCTCCTGGCTAGCAGCGTCTTCTGGTTCGGAGTCACTTGAGCCGTCCAGTTCGAGGAGGCCGTCATTGAAGTCCTCGAAATCATAGCCTGATGGTCTCAGCGGCTGAGAGCCACCGCCGAGCATCCAGTGCCCATCGTCGAACTCGTTGATGAGGTGCTGGCTGTCCGTGGACCTGGCGAGCGTCTCGACAGCAGACTGGAGCGCAACGCGCGCCTCGGCATCTCGGACGATCCAGGGAGGGCGAGCGTCTCGCGGCCCGCCGCCGCCCCAGACGGGCGGCCCAGTCTTGAGCCTCGATGCGGCGTCGGCAGGGTTAAACTCTGAGGGGGCCCACCTTGTGACAAAGTCTGAATCCGAGATCATGGACAAGGCGGCGAGCTGGCGACAATGTCTGTTGATACTGGCATTGCTGGCTCTGCCCTTACCCTGCGCCAAGACAAACCCCAGATTGTCTCCCAGAAAAAGGTGACGATGCGAAAATTGACGGGTAGAGCGGAGACGATTTCTGGCTGCGATGACGGTGGCACGGCCCTCCGAAGAAGTAATGCTCTCTGCGAGCCGCCAGCGCCCCCGCACCTTGAGGCCCCACTCACTGAAGTCGCCAATGTCCCCACGACGAATGTCGAACAACTCAGGTGGAAGCTCATCTGGGGGGCAATCTGAATCTGGCACGGCCTTGACCTGGCCGTCGGGCTCGGCCCAGGCACGCTGTCGAGCCTGAACTGCATCGTCGACTGCGAACCTCCAACGTTCGCTCTGGCGGCCCCAACCTCGGACAGTCTCCAGCGGGAAGTTCCGGTTCACAACACCGAACCCCCCGTTGTCGGTCGCGTTGGCGCCCTCGGAGTCTGAAGCCGTAACCACTGTAGCCCATGGCCTCTTAGTGTCAGCGTAGGCAAGCGGAAATAGTACCATCATCCATCGAAGCTCCTTCGATACGGCTGGCCAAAGGCGAATCCGCTTGTGACCTGCGACGTCGATGAACCTGTAAATGGCGCGCGGGATGCTGAGCAGACACCGACGAAGGATGGCCGACCAAGTGAAGTGGCCCACAATGCGGTGAAGGAGCTCGCCCGAGCAGAAGCCCTCGTCCAGGATGCCCTTGATGGCGAGGCGCACCTTCCAACACCGGCGATGGCCGACTGAAATGCGCCCACTGGCCCGGTCCAAGGTCATTCCAGTGAACTGAGCCTCGGGAAGACCGTGCTCGAGCTCCTTGCATTGTAAGCCATCAGCTGCTAACTGCGCATATAGCTTTCGGGCCATGCCCCTGACGACGTCGTCATCAGTGCCCACGACCCCAGCATTGTCCACGTAGATGGCCGTGCCGAAGCCGTCGCCAGTGACGTCAGGTGCCTGCTTCTTGTCCAGTAAGAAGGCTGAAGGTGGCACTCCCGCTCGAAGAGCGCTGGCCGTGACCATGGCCTGACAGAAGTAGAGTGCCCAGGACCAGCCCATCGCCATGACCTCCAGGTGCGGTGTGACGTAGCCTGTGGACGTGATGCCCAGCTGGTCGCACAACCTGCCGTCCACGCGGCGAAGTTGACTGGCCGAAACTCTGGGAAGAGCGAACCAATCCGAAACCCCTGGTGGAGCCTTACATCGGTAGAACGCGTTGTCAACGTCCATCTGAGACAACACCGAATCATCCGTGACTCCGATCTCCATGGATGCCCAGGATGAGGGAGTCGGCAGACGAGAGTGGGCTGGCTCCTCGAACATCACGTTCACCGCTCTAGTATCCAGAATCATTCGTAATCTGCCATCCTTTTTCGCAACAAAGAAGATGCCAACAGTGGCCGCCCGTTCAGCTCGGAGCGATACAAGATTAGCCCGTACCATCTGCATGATGAAATCAGCATAACGCTTCTGATCTTTGACAAGAGCAGGATCACTATAAGGTTGAATTGTGCTGTTGGTCGCGGTCGAGTCGGAGTCTACTCTAGTCCGCAAGTTCGTCGAAATGGACCTCCAGCGTTGTAGGGCCAGACCGGACAGCACCTGCTCGCCGTCGGCCAGACCGCCCATAGTGGGCAACGAGACTAGGTCAGGCTGGAAGCTGCGCCGAGGGTCAGAGTCGGAGTACCCAGGGCGACTGCCGCCAAGCTCCGCCAGGGCTTGCGCGGCTGTGCAAGGAGGCGGTGGTATCGAACTATAGATGTCGGTCAGCAGGCGCACGCCGAAGTTCTGGGCCTCTGAGACCGTGAGCCCTGGCGGCGGACGAATTGTGCAACCGTACATCTCGTTCAGACACTCCACTGCCGAATTTACCCAAGTCTGCCAATGCCGACGCATGTGAGAACGACGTCGAACAGCCCGGCAACCAGAGACCTGGGAACAAAATTGATCTTCTTGAGAATATGGCGGCGCAAGAGGCAGCAGCTCTCGCGATACTGGCATCCCTGATTTCGGCGGCTGGACGGGACCCCAGCCGCCTGTGGCTCTCAGGTCCTCTGGGCTGCCGCTGCTGCAGCTGCAGTGGCCTCTCTCTGGACCTTGGCAGCGGCCTTGGCGGCAGCCCTGTCGGATTCACTCTTGCCTTTTCCGTCACTGATCGGAAGACCTGGCACATCATGCAGAGACGATAGCGGCAGTGGCCGCTGGGAATGTGGTGCCTGACCAGCCTGCAACCTCCTCTCCTCGTCGAGCTTCCTGGATTCTTTTGCAATGGTCGACTCGCGATGTAGTTCCGAGGCTACGTATTCCTCGAGCAGAGGGCATAGCATCAACTGGCCCCAAGTCTCCCCAACCACCAAGTACAGAAGCTCATCCTGCAGAATGTTGTCAATCAGGCTATTGGTGCGCAAATGCATGTGCTTGTAGCGGTACTCCGCCAGCTGAGCGCGCCGAAGCAGGAGCTCAACAACCGCAGGTTCTGACGCACTGACCTGGTCGTAAGTCACCGCGTACTCCACTGCTTTCATGGCCGTCTCGTGATCCGAAACTCCAGGGTCGGCAACTGAAAGAGCACACGTCGACTTCCAACACGAATGACGAGCCCGTGGGTGTCCGTTGGTTTGTAGTATGAACTGCAGGCACCACCTAGTAGCACGCGGCCCCGTAGGGGGCCATGAGTCCCACTCAGTCTCCGAGGTGAGGTCGAGGGCGACTTTGGAACCCTTGAACCTTTTCCCATGCCGACCTCCAGTAATCTCCGATATGCGAGCGTCCAGGTCTACATCGTCGCCGTCGTCTCCGCCACCAATGGCCGGATCATGATCCGAGATCAGCATGGTGACCCCGTCTTGCATGAGAACGCCAAAGTCCCTACAGATGGCCCAGCCCTCGCCGGACGGCTTGTCCAGCACCTTGCTAACTGTCGAGCCGATGTCCAGCCAACGCCGATGAGCCGCGGGTAAGCGGCCCGTGCCGTAGATGAGACCTAGGTCGTGGCCGACCCTCAAAACCACCGCGTCCTCCGGGCTGCTCGTCGGTAGTAGCAACGGTGGTGCAGTCGCTCCAAGGGGAGTAGCCGTACTATCTGCCGCACCTGCAGCGAGGCCCAGCTGGGCGATCGGCGCCACGGGGTCAACGCCGTCGTCGACAGCGGGAATCGGTCTCCGAAGATTCTGGGCTCGACCTGCCGCTTGAGCTCGTTCGTAATGAGCTGGGCGTAGTATCTGTCCAAATTCGAAGAGGCGTCCCCAGTGGGACAGAGGCCCTAGGCCCTGCATGACGATCGGTGTCCCCTCGAGATCGCAGGGCACGCAAGCGAGCCGTAATGGGCAACTCAGCTCCTCCGGGTAGATAACTCCTGTCGGCGTCATCACCAAGCGAACTGTGGCGGCTGCTATGGCGGGCAGTACGCCCATGATCCTCTCTAAGGTGGTGGCGTCGCTGTACCCCAAGTTCAGTCTCTTGTGCCAGAACCGCTTCTCGGACTCGTATTTCGCGCTGATCTCGCGGCCTGGGCAAAATAACCTCTGAGCTAGATCCGTCATGTCGGCGGCAACACACTACGTGCCCCGCCTTCCCGACCGCGACCCCTGCAGCAAACGTCACCACTGAGACAGCGTATGGCGAGCCCACGTACGTACTCTGAACAGCGCAAGTGAGTGCAGACGAGGCTATCGGCGAGAGGGAAGGCCAGGCCACCTTGCCTGCCTCCCAAAGGGCAAGGGCTGCCGTGAGAAGCATGCACCTCAGGCGTCGCCGCCCCAAAAAGACTTGAGCGTAAACAGTTGCGGCCAGGCACCGAGAGAGAAAGACGTTCCGAGAACTGTAGCATATATATATATATGTATATATATGTATATATACATATATATATATATACAGATAAATAGATCAACCTTCCCAGCCACGTGCGGTCGGCTCGGCCCCTGCAACAGGGGAGGGGATAACAATAAGGGGAAGGGAGCACACGAGAGATTTACGAGATTGGCGGCGCGCGAAGGGGGAAGTGACGAGGAGAAGGCCTTCTCCGAAGGCGGTGGGACCTCTCAGAAGCCCTCGCGCCTTCCGAGAAGTATTTGTTCTGTCTTCGGGGAAGGCCTGAACACTTCTCGGAAGGCCAGGCCGGGGGGGCTTCCGAGCCTTCTGAAAAGGCCTTCTCCCTCTCACTTCCCCCCCTCGCTCGCCGCCGACAAGAGAGGTTTGCAGTACAGGGGCCTAGGAGCAGAACAAAACAACTGCAGAGCAGGACGGGCGGGGCGGGCGGGCGGGCCCGGACGGCCGCGTCGAGCGGGCGCGTCGCTGAGGCGTCACTCCTGCCTGCATCGCACGGGGGGGCCCCGAGCGACAGCGCGATTCCCACGTAAGGCGTGAGGAAGTCCAGAGCGAGAGCGTGACTCATGAGTGTCGAGGGCGAGGCGTCTGAGCGCATTGGAAGAAAGCCCCACGCGAGAGCGCGATTCCTGAGCAGATTGTGAGGTGGGTGTCCCGCGCAGAGGGCGCGGTTCGAGGAACCGTGGGGAAACATCAGGCGGGAGCCGTTGCTGTTGTAGTTCGGGGGCCAACAACGCAGTCTGAGCCTCAAGACTTTCCGTTGTAGAGAAAAACATGGTGCGAGCCCCAGGAGGGGCATATCAATTTGAAAGATGGAATGGGCGCCAGAGAGCGGGGATCAACAACAATGATTTCCAGAACCGAGAATCCAAAAAACAACAAGAACCCCGGCCACGGAAACCCAATTCAACCACGCACCCAGGGACAGCGAATGACCGGTCGGCCCCCTCACTCTGAAATCTGGCCCAACCCAGGTTATGAGTGGGCTACCGCTGCCCCCAGCAGCTCGGCGGGCTTCACGCGGTCACCCGGCCAGTAGTGTCATCGAACCCACCCCCTAGCCTCTGTGGGATTTTGTGACCTACGTCTCAGCCAGGTCAGGCCAGCTATAGTCCACCCTGGCATCCACTGACAACCCCCCTACAGTCGGGGCGTTGACCCAAGGAACCCTAAATAAGGAACGAGGCCCCTTAGATCCACAAGCTGGACTTCGACTTCCCATCGAAAACCACAGCAAAACCCAAGGCAAACTGTGAAGCAATCAAGGAACACGGAGCCCCTCCCCAACGAAAAGGGTTCCCTCTTCAGGGCCCCGACTGTACCTCCTCATCCACCCCCACGCCGATCCAAGCAGAGTTCCCGACCCCCTCCCGGGGGGCAGCCTTCCGCCCTGGGACAACTCTTGACGACAACGGGGACCGATCCAAGGGCAACGGAGGCTGAACTCGAGAAAGATCAGGGGCCGAACTCTATACACCGACGCTTTTTCCGTCCCCGCACGGAAACTCGCTCAAGGAAGCGGATCCTGGTGTAAACGGGATCCTGGTATACAATTTTCGGTGCTACCCCAGGAAAGCGGAAGGAAAAGTATACACCACACTTCCCCGGCATCGCCCCCAACCCTCGAGAAGTCCTGGGATTCCCTTGGATTGACAAACGGCCCGCCACGGGTAATGTATATGATCCATTTCCAGACCCAGGGCCCGATAACGGGCGAAATCGAGGAAGAGCCCCCTGAATGGACACATCACATCGACGCAAATCTGGGGGCGGCGACGACAGCGCAACAACACCACAACGACGACGCGAAAGCGAGCGCGGCGACGGCGACGACGACGGACAAGCCGGGACAAACTGCTAGAGGCCCCCGCGGTTTCTGAGATCGGCGCTGGACACCCCTCCCTGGCGGCGCCGGAAGCGCCGCCAGGGGGGCTCCAGCGCCGATCCAAGAATCCGCGCGGACCTCCGAGATCTTGTTTGTCTGTGTTCCCCACCCCCCATCCGCACCACACCTGTGCACCCCTCACACAACGACGGACCTCCGAGCAATCATGTCTACCAGTCGGTCGGAAGAAGTGGGTAGAAATGAATGGGAACTGAGACACACAATTAAATATACACAAATAAACATATACCCCATATTTTCCTATATTTTCTGTGCTTTTGCCTTCCCCCCACTTCCTATATTTTCCCATCTTTTCCTGGGAGAGGACGATTAATTGTGTCTGTCTGTTTTTGTTCCCCTCCTGCAGAAACATGAAGCAGGAGACCGCTGGAAGTGGATTGGACTTCCCCCCGCCCCCCGAAAAGGAGGGAAGGAGGGACCACCGCTCGACTCTCGAAGCAGGAGGGCGCACAGAGCAGACGAGGCTTCGGGCGTCCTCGATACCTACTTTCAACCACCAGCGTGCACGCAAGCCGCTCGACTCTTGAAGCAGGAGGGCGCACAAAGTCGATGAAGACTTGGGCGTCCTTAAGACCTACTTTCGACCACCAGCGTGTGTGCAAGCCGCTCGACTCTGTAAGCAGGAGGGCGCATAAAAGAGATGAGGACTTGGGCGTCCCTATTACCTACTTTCAACCACCAGCGTGTACGCAAGCCGCTCGCCTCTTGAAGCAGGAGGGCGGACAAAGCTGATGAGGATTTGGGCGTCCTTCATACCTACTTTCAACCACCAGCGTGTATGCAGGTTGCAGGGCAACAAACTCTGTAAACCGAAACTTTGCCGGCCCTGCAATTGAATCTGCACAGGAGAGCGGATCCTGGTGCATTCGGGATCCTAATGTGTATACACGTGTTCGGCGCTGCCCCGGGAAACGGAACAAGATGTATGAAGCACACCACGCCGACGTGGCCCCCGACCTTCAAAAAGTCCTGGCATTGAAGAACCGCTCGCCACTGGTGAACGTGTTCTTCTTCGGCGTTTCGACATCGGAGGGGGGGGGGAGGGGAGTGAAGGGGCCCCAGGACACACACAAATAAATACACACAAATAAAACTATTCCCCATATTTTCCTGTATTTTCTGTGTTTTTGTCCACTTCCCATATTTTCCCATATTTTCTGGGGAATCGACGATTAATTGTGTCTGTGTGCTGCTTTTTCCCCTCCTGAGGGGAGGGAGGTCTGGCTCCGGCACTCCCTGCTTCGTGCGACTGTCTGCAGCAGTGCGCCCTGCGGGGGAGGCCCCGCCTGCTCGACAAAGGCGCCCCAAAAACGGCCAATATCTGCGCCATAGGGAGGAAAAGAGGGGAAGGGGGAGAGTCGCGAGGGCCCGCGCCGATCGGCAGCAGAATAAGAAAACGGTCACCGGGGAGGAGAGGGAGGCGAGGGACGAGGAGGAGGAGGAGGAGGAGGAGGAGTGGGAGGAGGAGGAGGAGGAGGAGGAGAAAGCGGAGGAGGAGGAGGAGGAGGAGAACGAGGAGGAGGAGGAGGAGGAGCAATGCAGATGTCCCTGCTTCCGACTATTGTTGCCTCTCGACCCGCGGCGCGCGCGCCGCCTCCCGCTCCTCCAGCGCGCGCCGGAACAGCGCCTCCGCCTCTCGGGCCTGGCCCCGGTCCGCCAGGGCCCTCGCGAGCCTGCGACGGGGTGGCGGCGGCGACAACGGGGGTCGTCGTCGTCGTCGTCGTCGTCGTCGTCGTCGTCGTCGTCGTCGTCGTCGTCGTGGTCGTCATCGCTCCGCGCGGACTTCCTGGATCCGCGCTGGGCCCCCCTCCCTGGCGCGCGGAGCGCGCCATGGGCGGCGCCGGAGGCGCCGTCGGGGGGGCCCGGCGCGAGCCTGCGAAAGGGAGGCGGCGGCGACGCCGGGGGTCGAGGGTCGAGGGTCCAAGCTCGTGCAGTCAACCCGCAGAGGTAGGCCCAGGCAACAGGGGGCACGCGCGGTGAGGATGGGCAACAGTGCGTGCACAAGCTCGATCATGTGAATGCATGAAGCTTTTTGTGACCACCCTCTCCCCTCATCCCTCTCTCCCCCTTCTCTCCCCATTCCCCCTACATGGCGCGCTGGACGCGGCCCTGGCAACTTTTGAATCGCGTCCTTCATGGATGCACGGCTTTCGCATCGTATCGGTAAGGACGCAAGGGCCTTAGAAAGCCATGTTGACGTTTTCCGAGTGGGGCGCCGCCGAAGGATGCAGCCCGCCCCAAAGTGTACCCTAAGGGACTGGCCAGCGAGAGTTGCCAGGGATGGGCCGAAGGGGAAGGATGGAGAGGCAACCTTGGAAGATTGCTCATCCTTGCGAACGACCTGTGGATTGACTGTGTACGGTGCCGTTGGGTACAGTGCGGGTGCGGCCGCAAGAAACCCCAGCAAGAAACCCAACCCTGAAAACCCGCGCGCGAGGTGCACCCGAGGGGAAACCCGGAGCAACCTGAGCGCGGCAGCTTCTTCAACGGCTGCGGAAAGTCACCGCGCAGCGCGCGGAGCGAAAAAACCCAGGGTACCCTGACGAAAAGCAAATGGTTTCTTGGTGCGCGCCCCCGCTGTAGAGGGGGAAAACACGGCACAAGCATATGCTCTCGACGCTCCGCGCCGATGTATTGGATCTGTTCTAGACCCCCCTCCCTGGCGCGCGAAGCGCGCCAGGAGCGGCGCCGGTGGCGCCGCCATGGGGGCCCTGCTGGCGAGGTCTTCGGTTGGGGTGGACGCGCTCGCGGTGAAGGGCATCCTGGACATCGAGCGATGCCCGCACTGGAGACAGCAAAGCCTGCCAGATCCCCCCACCTCACACCCGCCTACCTTTGCGCCACTCGCCAGAGCTAAGGTCGATCGCGAAGCCCTTCGATGTTTTGGCTTCCACTCAGTGCGACGATGACTGCCTTGTACGACAGAACCGCACATCATCATAGCACTGCTGCTCTGCAGCGTGCGAGGGGTGAATTGTATAATCTGGACTTCGAGGAGGTTCTAACCGTGGCGACTCGGGCACCGCCACGGATACTCCACACGGTACAGACCACCTAGATGGGCCTCATCGTCCACGGTTTAACTTGTTGTCTCAAAATCCGCGGGCATCAGATCTCTCGACTCCGTCCCTGGGGACAATGTTCTATTACGGACCGATTCCTGGTGATCCTGGGGATCGACATCGACCCTCGGAGGCCGAAATGACTGAAGGCGCCAGGATTGGTTGACACCTCCCTTGTTAGAAATCAATCAACTGGACATCGACCGGACCGGAATACAAACGACAGCGACGAGGACGACGACAAAGCCGTGAACGACGATGCGGCCGACAACGACGACAGCGAGCCTGGACAGCCATGAGAGCGCCACAGGAGGCGGCGCCCGAAAGAACCAGGCACCCCCGAATCTCCTTGATCCAGTCGTGGGAAACCGACGGGAAGGCGGTGTCGAAAGTCTAACAGCGTGGCCCTACGACCTACGAGCCCGTAGAGCTCTCCCCAGAAGCAGGGGAAGGAGGGAGGGAAAGGAGGAGGGAGGAAAAGGAGGAGGAGGAGGAGGAGCTTTTCCAGCGACGCCAGCGCGTCCTGGTGGCACCGCCCCAGCGGCCCCGTCGGCATCCTCGCCTCCTTCCGAGAGAGAGGGGCCCCCCGCCCCCTGCGGAGCCTGCACACCCACGAGATCGTCTCCGCGTGCGCGCGCCCGAGGGTCGACTCCTTCGCCACGAGCACCTGCCTCTGGGAAGAAGGATCGCGCCGACGACGACGCCGACGCCGACGCCGACCACGACGACGACGACGACGTCGACGACGACGACGAGGACGACGAGGCGCGTGGGGGGGTGCGCGCGAATCGCGCGCGCACCCGCCGCGCGCGGCGCCCGCTGCCCGCAGGGTGGCGGCCACTGGCCGGCTGGCGAGGCTCCGCAGCCTCTGGGTGGGCTGCTTGGGGGCCTCCGGGCTCTCTTCTGGGAGGCCTCGGGGCCACTGGGCACGCTCTGCAACCAACACGAGAATCGGGACGCGCGGCAAGGAAGCCAGGCCCTCAAACGCCCAAATGTTTGGACGCCCGGAACGGGTGCGGGAAACAACTGTCAAATGTCGCCACAAACCAACAGCGGCCGCTGTTGGGCAGGCGGCCTCCCGTGTCAAATAGACACAGGTCGCGGCGGCGCGGACAGCGAGTCGTGTTCAAAATGAACAGGAGCTGCTGTTGGGCATTGTGCCCATTTGTTTCCGCACCCATGTTTTGAGCAGGGACCGACCGTCCAGGCATTCCTATAGTCCTACCACGAAATGTTCTTAGAACCCAAAAATGTTATGATAACAAAAACAATGTTCTTAGAACATAAACCCGATGTGATGAAACAAGACAATCTCAATCAGACATGTTCTAAGAACATTTCGTGGAAACCACAACAGGTTCTTAGAGCATTGCTCGGTAGGGCTATAGGTGCGCCAGGACGCTTCGCCACTGCCTGAGTTCCGTACCCATGCCGGTCGTCCCGAGAGTTGAGATCCGTGAGCGACGCGCGGGAGCAGTCCCTAGGACGCAGGGATGCCCTGACCGACCGACCCCCCGCCCCTGCCGACAGCGGGCGCGTCGCGCGCCGCCCCGAGGGCCTCTGCTGCGGGGCCGGCCGGCGAGAGCTGTCCAGGCATTTCCCCCTACAGGGGGATTCTGGGCGAAAAATTGAAAATACCCCCAAAATATTCAAAAAAATAAAAAATGCTCAAAACATCGTCCCCAGACTATCTTTCGATCATTTTTGAATGTTCCCCCTGTAGAGGGACAGGCAAGACTTAAGCCGAAGACCAGAATTTCAGGTTGGGGGGGTATGGGCTCCATATGTTGTTTTTCGATGTTCCCCGACCCCCCCCCACTGGAAATGGAGGGCAAATTGAGGCCTTCGGGTTGGGTTGGTGTGGTTTGGTGGGTGGTGACTCTTGGGGTGCTCCTCGTGCGACAGCCCCACGAGGCAGGAGGGTCCCCAGGGGCCACAGATACAGTAGGAGCTCGACGAGATACCTTGCACAAAAAAACCCAACCCGGAGACCCCAGGGCGTCCATCGATTGCTGGTGCGGGGACGTCACGCTTTCCACAGCTAAACCATCGGGACCCAAGGAGGCAAGTAGGGTGCTTCTTGGCATGGGCCTCCACTGTACGTACAGAATTGATGTACCCAAAACTTGATGTGTTCGTTGTTCGCCGAATCTACGAACGAATCCGTAGAACGCTCGTGGATATTAGAACATGATGCGTACTCTTCATACTTTCGGCGAGCAAATCAATTTTGGAGGGTGCCCAGACAGGGGAATCGAAAGGACATAACGAGCCCTCGGCCCCGAGAGGCTCCAAAAAGGCCCCAAGATGCCTCCAAGAGGCCCCCCAGAAGCCCCCAGGAAGCTCAAAGAGGATCCCAAGAGGCCTCCAAGATGCTAGGGGCCCCCCAAACTGCCCCCCAGAGGCCCCCGTAAGCGCTCCGAAGACCGACGACACCAAACAGAATCCCCGAGGACTCTGACCCACGTCAGCGTCGTCGTCGTCGTCGTCGTCATCGTCTTCCCCCTTCAGGAACGGCGGCACCGGCCGTAATGCCTTGGCAATTTTGGAGCAAGTCAGTCTTGTAGTCGATCCCTTGCGTTGTGGATGCCAGGACAATGGACAATCTAACAATCCTAGCATTGAATGAAAAGATGTGTTTAAAGCGTGTACAACATGCTTTAAACATGTTCCAGGCATTTAAATAAGGGACAAACAAACCTACCTCGCTTTTGACCACCCTCGCTTCCAAGAGATACCAAGTGATGCCAAACTACGGCCTGTACTGGTCAGGCCGCTTGACGAGGAGGCGCGTGGTATGACTTGGTTTGGCCTGGAAGCGAAAGCGGGGTAGGTAATTCACGCCCTGAACGAATCGCCTTCCGCAGCCCTTGCTCGACCTCTGGGGCACCTCTGGGGCATGCGGCGCCCTGCTGGCCCGCAGGGGGGCCGCCTCTGCGGGCACGGGAGGCCCCCGGGGGGCCCCGCGGGAGGTGGCTCGGGAGGCCCACCGCGGGGCCTCGGGGAGCCTGCCCATCGCGGGGCCTCGGAGGGCTCGATGATCCTCGGGACACCGTGTCTGGAGAAGAAAAGCGCCATGAGCAGAAACGTTTAACGCTCCGCGCGGGCGTCCTGAGTCTGCGCTGGACCCCCCTCCCTGGCGCGCTCCGCGCGCCAGGGGCCGCGCCAGGGGCGCAGCCGGGGGGCCCCAGCGCGGATCCAAGGAATCCGCGCGGAGCGCCAACAGTTCATGTTTCCTCAGTAAGATGAAGCCGGGATCGGGCAAAATTTGACCGGAATAAAAACCACGCTCGGTTTTTCAAATCACCGGGGGCGCCGCCGAACGGGCCTGCCACGCCTTGGGCGCCATCGGCTTCGCGAGGGAAGGAATGTGCCCCGGCGCGGATGAAGCCACGGCGCGTCTTTGGCCACGCGCACGCCCGAGGGAATTCAGCGCCAAGCGTCTTTCACTCCAGAAGGCCCGACGTCAACAAAACAAACTTGAGGCCCCAAGGGGGCCCCAAGGAGGCGGACCGCCAAAACAATCACGCAACCAACGCAACGAAAAAAAACACGAAAATGCCAAACAGCGCGTTACTCAGTGACCTCGTCGGCCACGCAACACCGCGATAATGCCCAAGGAAGCATTGGAAAAAAAAAACCCGCGCCGCCCCAAGGTTCCCGAAACGCGCCGAAATAACCGTAGAGAACACCCCGGAAAGTCGTTGGAAAGTCCCCGCGCCATGCAAGATCCGCCACCGAACAATCTCGCGGACACCTGGCGCGTACGCGCGGGCGTCCACCGTGGATGCCCAACTCCGGTTTCCGAGACAAGCGCGGGCAACCGCCTGGGGGCCTCGGCAACCTCGCGATTGGCCCAGGGGCCCGCGGGCCCCAGGGAATCGAAGACCGAGTTCGCAACTCCAGAAGCATCGGGCGCGGCGCCAGCCAGTCGCTCGTCTCTGGCTGACAGTAGGACGCCTGGATGCCCGGTAAAACCTAAGGAATTACCTTTCAGATATTCACGGAACCAGAAACCGGGGCGCGCCAAATTCTCGCGTCCGAACTTCTCTGAGAATCTCTGAAAATCTCTGAACTAGCCACCCCGCGTGAAACATTCCCATAAACCCAAAACCTCGAGCTGGCCGAAACTCTCTGAAAGTTCTTCGGCCCGCGAAATTTGGCGCGCCCAGATTTCTGGTTCCGAGATTCCCTGAAATCGCGCTGCGGCGGCGCCCAGCAGGTCCTCGCGCGCCCAGGGTGGGGGCCGTGGACATCGCGGGCAGCGATGGTCCTGACCGCGAGGTCCTTCCTCCTGCCCCTCGACGAGTCCACGCTCATGGACACGCTCTCCGCGCTGAGCGTGGACCGCGCCATCCGCCGGCACTTCTGCGCGACGACAGTCAACTGGCCGCCGACGGACAAGGCGATTTTTCCCCGAGCTGCGCGTGCCACCGAAAATATACAATAGCCCCGGGCTCGGGGAGAAACACTTTCGAAGCATTTTCAGGCCGCCAGCGTCGTGGCTGCCGACCCGCCGCGCGCCGACCGAGAGACTGGCAGGGCCCGCTACGTCCACGGCGGCGGGCGGGAACCCAAGAGAACTGTCGCCGCGGTGCGCGCGGCGGGGCGCCCGCCCAACTGCAACCGCAAATGCGGCCTCCATGGCGCCACAGGCGTAATATGTGCGACGCATTCTCGGGCCCCCCATCAGCGCATTGGCCAGCGCCCAAGTCCCTGAAACGCAAACCTACTGCGCCCCCCGTGCAAGCCGCGCACCCGCTCACAATGCTCGCGCACACCAGTTTAATTGAGCGCCCATGTGTTACTTGGGCTCCTCAAGCCCTCGAACACTCTTTGGGAACTTCTGCGAATGCGCGCGCTACGCTCCACAAATCGGCGTTATATTTTTCTCTGGAACTCTCCCAGAATCTCTGGTTCCGATTTGTCCCGATCTTCCGCTCAACTGACTCAGTGCCGACGCCGTCTGCGTGCCGTCGGTGGAGCTGAGAGGGCCATGAGCACGCGTCGGGCGAACACGCGCCCTGAGGGTCATCGACGGGCGCCGCTCCACGGAGCCTCGGCGGCCTTCGGTGGACCTCGGAGGGTCGCCGGGAGCCTCCAGGGACCTCGGCAGTGCGCCCTGGCCTGAGGTCGGGCCTGTCCCCCTACGGGGAGATTTTGGACGAAAAATCAAAAACACTCCACAAATACTCCCCAAAAGTTCAAGAATAGTCAGGAAATCCTCCCCAGGCCATTCTTCATATGTTCTGAATATCCCTCCTGTAGGGGGGACAGGTCCGACCCAACCCCGGCCGCCACCTGCCGGGCCCTCCCCACCCCGCGCCGAGGGCTTTCGGTGCGTTTTTTTCCGCTGCGCGCGGGGGCGCTCCTCGGCGAGGCGAGGAGCGGCACAGAGCAAACGTCTCCCGCCGTCGGGGGACGCTGTCGCCGTCGTCTTCGTCGTCGACGTCGTCGTCTTCGTCGTCGACGTCGTCTTCGTCGTCACGACGACGAAGACGACGGCGACAGCGGGCGACTGGAAAGTTCACACCCCAACGGTGGCAAGTGGGGGTATAAACTCTCCAGCCGCCCTGGGGCATGGGACGAGCAGACACGTACCATTACTGCATCTCCTCCTCGGGAGGCGCGCGTCCGGCCCGAGCATTCGGTATACCCATCTTGTAGTAGACCGTTTCTCGAGCGGTGTGGCCAGGAAGCGCCCGCCACGAGGCATGTACTGGAAGAGTTCCCGGTGCGCGCGTCGCCCCTGGAGGGGCTTCTGGCATCCCTGTGGCAGGCATCCCCGACTTGGCGGCGCGCAAAAGGGGGTAGGGGGAGGGGGGAAGGCTTCTTAGAAGCACCCTGCTTCTTAGAAGGGCTCGGCCTTACGTCTACAGAGAAGGCCCGCGCCTTCTAAGAAGCAGGGGTGCTTATGAGAAGCCTTCCCCCCTCCCCCTTTCCCCCTCTGCGCGTTGCCGGCCGACGGCGGGACAGTCTATCATGCTGTGCTGCTCCTCGTCCGCCGAGCTCTCCGAGGCCCGTGGCTGCCGCAAGCGTCGCCTCGCCGCGCGCCCCGCCGCGCGGCGGCCGCGCGGCGCGCCCTGCGCGGGGGCCAGCAGGGCCGCGGGCCGGGCCGCCGCGCGCGCGCGCCGGGCCCCCGAGGCGTGGCCGCGACCGCTCGCCCGCCGCCCCGCGGCGGCCGCAGCCGTGGCGCCACAGAGCCGGCGCCACGGGCGCCACACGGCCTGCTGCGGCGCCCTCGCCACGGGCGCCGCGGGCCTCCGCAGGCCCCGCGAGCCTCAGGCCCTCAGGAAGGCGCGGAGGGCCGCGGCGGGGTGCCGCGCGCGCGCGGGGCGCCCGGAGGCGCGGCTGCAGCCGCCTGCCCGCCGCCCGGGGGCGGCCGCAGCCGTGGCGCACAGAGCTGGTGCCACGGGCGGCGCCACGGCCTGCTTCGGCTCCGCCGGCTCGTCGTCGCCGCGGAGCTTCTTCAGAGCCTCCACGCCCGCGGGGGTGTCGACGCGCCCTCCTCCCTCCGTCTCCTGTGCGAAGGGGGGAGGCGGCCCGTTCTTTGCCTCCTCCGCGCGCATCTTCTTGCCCACCTCATAGCAATGCTCGTTGCGCTCGAGGAGCAGCTTGACTGCGTTCTTCAGCTTCGGGTCCGAAGTGTGGCAATTCAGCGCCTCGCACATGCCGCCAGAATCCTCACCCTTCTGGCAACCGATCGTCATGTCATCAACCTTGGCCTCAAAGGGCTGCTTATGGGCGATTTGGTCCGCTATCCTCGACATATCCTGACACGCAGTCTGCACGGAGAGCAACTTTTCGTACCGTGCGGGAATGGTGGCGATCCCGGCTCTGCTCTTGTCAAAACAATCCTCCGTCTCGAAGGCGTGCTTCTGAGCCCGCCGTACCATCGAGCCAACCAGCTTGTCCAGTAGAAACTGGACCTTCGGCGCGGCCTGCTTGTACTTCTGGATCCAGGCATTGTGGGACAAAGGCTCCTGGACCTCCTCGTACGGAAGGCTGCACGTGGACGTCTTCCAGCAGCTCAGATCGCTATTCGCCATCTGCTTCGGATCGTAGATCGGGTAGTGAGGGACGACCTTTATCTCCTGCGGGAAAGGCACCTTCCCAGACAAGAAGGCCCTGCCATCCCGTGAATCTCTCCTCTTCAAACGGGCAAGCCCCCCATCCATTGCGAAGCAGCCCTTCGTTTTCCGGCCTGCGATCGTCTTCGTGGTGTACTCGCAGTTCGGGCACGACTGGCACACCTGCTGGTCGCAGTCGAACTGGGCGCACTCGTAGCACTTGTTCGGGGGCTGCACGTCGTACACTCCCGTCACCACCTCGTTCCCGTCGTCCGTCTTGGAGTAGCGGTTGTGGGTGGCCGCCGCCCCAGCGTTCGTGGTGTTCCGGACGCAGGGGAAGAAACCACTGCACGAGCGTGAGACCCTCGGGGCTCCGCGCGGCCTTCCTGGGCCTGCGCGGGCCGCCCCCCCCCCCCCCCCCCCCGCGTGGAGCGCGGAGCGCGCCCCAGGAGCGGCGCCGGGCGCCGCCGGGGAGGTCCGGGCGCAGACCCAAAGACACCCGCGCGGAGCCCCGACGGCTCGTGCCCAGGCCGCGCGCTTTCTTCTCCCGGGGGATGCACATGCACTTGTCCTCGCTGTCGCACGGCTGCCCTGCTCCGGCCTCGAAGCGGTCCATCGCCCAGCACATGTGGGTGGTGCCGTGGCCGTCGTCCGCGCACTGCCCAGAAGACCCCACCACGCCGCGGGCCGGGCACCCGTCCTCCATGGCGTCCTGGGCGGGGGGGAGAACCAGGAAAAAGACGAAGCCTGGACGAGGATACCTTCGGGTGAGGATGAATCGAGAGAGAACCCCTGAGGTCCAGGGGCTCTGGAGGATGTCTCTCGGGCGCCGCGGCTTCCGGAACGTTCTGAGAGTACTGCGGAACGCCCTCGAACGGATTTATCCTCGAGCCCTGTCCGAAGAACCACCCTCAGAATGAGCACCCTGACAAGCGAAGCGATCCCAAGGGGCCCACAAGCAAACAAATAAATACACACAATGCCCGGATTCCCCATAGTTTCACATACTCTATGGGATTCTGCCTCCCCCAGGATTTCCCATATTTTCGGATATTTTCCTGGGAATCGACGATTACTTGTGTCTGTCTCTTTCTTTCTGTCCCGCCTGAGAATCGAGCACACGCACCGAGGGAGCCGATCGCGCAGGGCAGGGCAGTTCCGCGAAGGGCCCAGGGCTCTTCGCCCAACGCCGCGTATATTCGGGGTCGGCGTCGTGCCTCCTTCCCTTGGAGTCCTCGAGGGGCAACAGTTTACCAGCCTGGAGCATATCCCTATCCCTATGCTGGGCACCTCCTCATCACGATGCCAATCTTAGGGATTCCCTTATTGTTTGAGGGCGAATCCCTAAGATTGTCATCGCCTTTTGGCGTGTCAATCTTAGGGATAGGGATACGTTCGAGGCTGGTAAACAGTAGGGGGGGGGACTGGCTTAGGGGGGGATGCATCGACCTGGACTCGGCGATGCATCGCCGACAGAGCCCCGCGATGGGCCTCCGATAGTGAATCCGCACGCTCCTGGGCAGGTTGGGGCTATCGGGCCCCTTATCGGCGATCAATGGGCGGTTGGGGGTCGATGCATCCCCCCCGATGCCTATCCCCCCCTACTGTTGCAGCTGAGTCCTGGTACTTCGCCTGGAGGTCCTCCACCTGCGACTTCTTGTACACCCCGTCGTGGCGGGCCCCGAAGACGCCCACCTTGGACACACAGTGGAAGCCATTACCGCACTTCACCTGTGAAGGGGCCCAAGGACACACAAATAAATGAACACAAATCCCAGGATCCCCCACATGTTCTCATATCTTCTGGATTGTCGTCTTCCCTCCCACTTTCTCCAATTACTCTCCCCTCTTTCCTTTGGAATCGAAGATTAATTGTGTCTGTGTGTCCCTCCTGAATCTGGCAGGAAGGCCCAGAATCGAATCGACAAGTCGGATCGGCGATCGACATGAATCGGATCGGCGGAAATCGGCAGTCGAGTCGTGCGAAATCGGGTCGGCGGACATCGGCAGGCCAGTAGGCCTCCACTGAGGCATCGGAATCCAAATCGGAATCCAAGCCGATCGGAAGCCAAAGCCGACTCGGATCGTAATCGGAAGCCATCGAAATCGAATCGAATACCGCTACTCCGTCTAATTACCTCTCCCAGGGCGCGTCCTGGCCAGGATTTCGAGGCGAATCCAGCGGTGGCGACGAGGGCCTGCCAGGCGGCCCAAAAAGGGGAAAACGAGGAAAGGGTAGAGGTATGGGACCTTTTCCTCCTCTGATGTTTGTCCCTCCTGGACCTGGTAGAAGCTGACCGGCGCCTGGTGGAGCCCGCCCAAGCACATGCCGGGTGGCCGGCACGGAACCTCCGGCGCCAGCAGGCACTGCGCCAACGCCGCGGGCATGGGCGCGGAGCCGTGGCCCTGTCGGGGTACGCAGAGGGCACCCGTGCGTCTCCTCCTCCTCCTCCTCCTACTCCTCCTCCTACTCCGCCTCCTCCGCCTCCTCCGCCTCCTCCTCCTCCTCCTCCTCCTACTCCTCCTCCTCCTCATCCTCCTCCTCTTCCGCCTCCGCCTCCTCCTCCTCCTCCTTCTCCTCCTCCTCCTCCTTCTCTTCCTCCTCCCTCCTCCATCTCCTCCTCCTCCTCCTCCTCCTCCTCCTCCTCCTCCTCCTCCGCCTCCTCCTCCTCCTGCATGCTCTCTCGGCCAGGGCTGTCCCTGGCCCTGGCACGGTGCACTCGTCGGCTACGCGCGAGGGGGACCCCAGGCTCAGGTCGGGCATGTCCTCCAACGGGCGGATCTTGGAAACCCAAAACGTCGCCCCGGGGCGGCCTCCCAAAGAGGCTCTGCTGCAGGGGGGGGGGCGGGGGCGCAGCGGGCGGGTCTCATGGAAAGCGCGCGTGGGGGGAGGGGGGGGGGGGGGCAGCGCGCAGGGGGAGGGGGGCGCAGAGGAGAGAGGAGGAGGAGGAGGAGGAGGAGGAGGAGAGGAGGAGGGGAGGAGGTAGGAGGAGGAGGAGGAGGAGGAGGAGGAGGAGGAGGAGGGGCGCACAAGGGGGGTTGTGTCTGGCTCCTTTGGGATGTCCCTCCCGCGGAAAAACATGCCCGACGGAACCCTGGGCAAGAGTGGCCTCCGGCTCACGGCTCCGGGGCGCGCAGCCCTGGCGCGCACGACTGCGCCGGGGGGGGCGGGGCGTGGGCCGGGCCTGTTTTCCACCTCCACCACCACCACAACTTGGGGGGGGAGGGGGGGGGTCCTCCTCCTCCTCCTTCTCCTCCTCCTCCTCCCTCCTCCTCCTTCTCCCCCCTATCCTTCTCCTCCTCCTCCTCCCTCTTCCTCCTCGTCCTCCTCCCTCCTCCTCCTCCTCCTCTTCCTCCTCCTCCTCCTCCTCCACCTTCTTCCCCCCTCCAACTTATGTTGGTGCGTGTGGCGCAAAACAGGCCCATCAGCGTGGGCTCGCACCAGAAGGTCACTCCGCCACCCTTGCCTCGTAGCCGGCATGCGTCGCCCTGGCCGAGGCCGGGGCGAACGACATATCTCCGTATCCGCGGCCTTGCGGGCCAGGCCTCCGAGACGCGAACCCGCGGAGACGGGGCGTTCTCTCGCGGGTGCCCCACGCGGAAGACGTCCGTGCGACCACGCATCCGCGGGACCGCGCCCCAGAATCCAGACCGCGAGGGCGCGGCTATGGATAGGTCCGCCGTTCGCGGCGGGTGCAGCATCCCAGGAGCCCCAGGGGTGGCCCGGGCCGTGCACCTGGCGGTGGTGTGCAGGGCGCCCGCTGCGAGCTGGACGCGCAGAAAGTCGAGCAGGGACTGACCGTGCCGGCATTCCCATAGGCCTACCACGACATGTTCTCAGAGCCACCCACAGCGTTTCCAATAACAGAAGCTCTTAGAACATACGCCGCACGTCTTCAAACAGTACAGCCTCGACCAGAACTGTTCTCCGAACCTCTCGTGCAAACCACACACAACTGTTCAGAACATTGCCTGGTGGGCCTATGGGCGAGCCAGGACGCTTCGCCACTGCTTGACAGAAGGCGCACCGTCACCCGGCGGAAGCCCGCAGTCGCCGGGGGGAGGCCCGCCGCGCGCCCGCCAGGCGACAAGCCGCTCGGGGCGCGGGGCCCCCCGGCGCCAGCGGGCGCGGGCAGACGCGAGCAGCGGCGCCGCCAGCCCCCGCGGCCCGAGCCGACATGGCTACGGAGGAGGCTCGAAGCTGCCTGCTGGAATCGGCGCACGGGTGCTGAGTGGATGGGGGGAGTGTATCCTTGGACGCCGAGTTGGGGTATGTCTGGCCCAGCCTCGGCGAACCTCGATGGGTCTGCCATGCCCCCCCAAGAGAACGGGCAGATACTTATTCCTGTCGTGGGTATGCTTGACGGCTGCCAACTCCCACCAGGAAGCTGCAAACAATTGTTCCGTCGCCACCACCGTAGCAGGTGTCGTCGTCGTTGTCATCGCACCACCACCTCTACTCCTACCTCTACTCCTGTAGCTACATCTACTCCTACCCCTACTCCTACTCAGTATCATCCTCCTTCTGTGTTTCTCCTCTCCAGCTGCTACAACGACAACTGAGTCGAATACCACGACTGCTATTACTACTACGACTACATCACTACTACTACTACTACTACTACTACTACTACTACTACTACTACACCAACAACTACTACTACTACTACGACTACTACTACTACTACTACTACTACTACTACTACTACTACTACTACTACCATTACTACTACTACGACTACTACTACTACTACTACTACTACTACTACGACGACTACGACTACTACTACAACTACTACTACTGCTGCTACTACTACTACTACGACTACGACTACTTCTACTACTACTACCACTACTACTACTACTACTACTACTACTACTACTACTACTACTACTCCTACTACTGCTGCTGCTACTGCTACTGCGACTGCGACTGCGACTGCGACTGCGACAGCGACAGCGACTACTACTGCTACTACAACAACTACTACTACTACTACTACGACTACGACAACTACTATAACTACTACTACTACTACTGCTGCTGCTGCTGCTGCTGCTGCTGCTGCTGCTACGATTACAATCGCTGGTGCTGAAGCTGCTACGACTACGACTACTACGACGACTAAGACTACGACAACTACAACTACTTTTACACGACGACTACTACTACTCCTACTACTACCACTACACTACTACCAAAACTACGACTACGACTACGACCATAACTGCTACTACGACGTCTACTACCACTACTACTACTACTACTACTACTACTACTGATACTACGACTTCTTCTTCTACTGCGGCTACCAAGGCTACTGCGACTCTGACTACGACTACAACTACTACTACGGCTGCGACGACTCTGATGACTCCTGCAACTACTACTACGACTACGACTTCACGACCATTAAGACTACGACAAAGACTTCTACTATTACCACAACTACGGCATCTACTGCTACGACTACGACTACCAATAACAAAGATACGACGACTGCTAACACAACTAATAATACTACGAGTAGGCCGACGACGACGACTACTACTACTAGTACTACTACTACTACTACTACTGCTACTACTACTACTACTACTACTACTACTACGACTACTACTACTACTACTACTACTACTACTACGGCTACTACGGCTACTACTGCTACCACGACTACCGCATTTACTACTACTACTACTACTACGCCAAATACTCCTACTACGACTACTACTGCTACTGCAATGTTTACGACTTCTACTACTACTACTACTACTACTGCTACTACTACTACTACTTCTACGGATAGCACTACTGCTTCTACGAAGACTACAACTACAAATGATTACCATCACCAATACCGCCACTGCGACTACTACTGCCACTAATACTACGGCTGCAATAACGGCCACTACGACTACTACATCTACGATGACTAGGACTACTCGTGCTACTACTACTACTACTACTACTACTACTACTACCACTACCACTACTACTACTACTACTACTACTACTACTACTACTACTACGATTACGACTACTACTACTACTACTACTACTACTACTACTACTACTACTACTACTCACACTACCACTACTGATATTGCCACGACTACTACGGCCACTACTGTTACTACGACTATTCCTACGGCGACGACTACTACGACGACGGCTACTACGGCTACCACGGCTACTACGGCTACTACTACTACTACTACTACAACTACTACTACTAATAGTACTCTCATGCTACCTCACTACTAGAACTTCCTTTACTCAAAATACAGCTATGGCTACTACTACGACTACTACGGCTACTACGACTACTACGACTACTACGACTACTACTACTAATACTACTACTACTACTACGACTACGGCTACTACAATTACTACTACCTCTACGACTTGGGGTGATACTACGGCAAAGACTACGACTGTTACAATATTACGACTAGTACTACGTCTAATACCACTAGTAGTAGTACTAGGAGTAGACACCAGTAGCTGTAGTTGCAGCGCTGGCATGAATACTACTGATACAACAACAACAACTACTACTACTACTACTACTACAACTACTACAACTACTATCACTACGACTACAATGTATGATGCGATCGCTCTTGCCATCGTATTGCGATTACGATTACTTCTGCCGTCGCCACTACTACGACTACTACTACTATTAATACGACTACGAATGCGACTGCGACTTCTACTACTACTACTACTACTACTACTACTACGCCTACGCCTGCTACGAATGCTACTACTACTACTGCTACTGGTACTACAGCAACTACTACAGCAACTACTACTACTACTTCTACTACTTCTCCGATTTCTGCGACGACGACTACTACTACTACAACTACTAATGCCACGACTGCTACGACTACTACTAGCTCTACGACTACAACAACAAATGCGACTAGTAGTAGTACTACGACTACTACTACTACTACTACTACTACTACTACTACTACTACTACTCTTACTACTCTTACTACTACTGCCACTACTACTACTGCTAGTTCTACTACTACTACTACTACTACTACTACTACTACTACTACTACTACTACTACTACTACTGCTACTACTACGAGTGCTACTACACTAGTAGTAATACCACTATTACTTCATCTACCACTACGGATACTATTACTTATACGACTACTTCTAATACTACTACTACTACTACTACTATTACTACTACTACTACTACTACTACTACTACTATCACAACTACCGCTACTACTACGACGACGACGACTACTAGTACGACTACTACTACACCTACTAACACTACGACTACGACTACTACTATTGATAATACTTGTACTTCTAAGACTTGTAGTACTACGATCACCACTACTATCAA